GCTGCTGTGCAGTGAGCCAGAACAGTTCTGAGAAGATCGTCGCCGCAACTATTCTATGATGCTGGCTTAGAGTTGTGGTGGAGTCCGCTCAACCTTACCTGCGCAACTCCTCCGGACTGTGTCCTTGGAGGATCCAGAGCTCAATATACAAGCATGGGCTCGCATTGCGCCAGTTTGACTTCGGCTGACACTGCTTCATCAAGCAGAGGCGTAGAATGGAACGGTGCACAGACGACTTTCCTTGCAGCTCCGACGCACGTTTGGGCCCAATAGTTTTGCCCAGTCTAAACGATGTAGAGGGAAGTTGGCTTGACCTGTTCGTCCCCTTCAAAAGCCATCTGAATCAAGCGCTGCTCTCGCAAGGAATTCGTAAGAAGCACAAGGAGCTCGAGTCAAAGCCTCTTACTGATGCTATGAGGTTCTGGCGGTGCTAGAAGGGATAAAAGGGATTCTATAGGGCGCGTTCCTCTTGGGGACGAGGAGGGGTTCTACAGGCAGCTTGCGCGCTGCTTCAGCGATCTACTTCCGTAACCTACGGTCCTTTCACACATCGAAGGCCCAAAGCATGTGAGCAAATCAGAACCGTGAGCTCCAGATCTGACAGCTGCAAGAAGGCAGAGAACTGCATTCCTGCGCCCAGGCCAGGTGACAGACGGGACAAGTCGGGAAGAAGCCTGGGGGTAAAGGAGATGCTGGAGTTGGCCTAGCCTAGCTGCAGCTGAGGCTCACGGTCCGAACTTCCATCAGTGAAACGATGCGCTAGGGCAACGGAAGCTGTGAACTGTGAAGTTGCGGATGGGGCGCATGGTCTCGATTCGTGCGCGCACACGTGGCTTCTGCGCTTGGCCCTTTTCCTCAACGCGATGAGCTTATGAGCGGAAGAATGCTGCAGAAAACGAGTCTTGTCATCAGCCACCCATACACCTAAGACTCAGACCCTGCACTCCGCAGCCTGAACCCAGTTGGGTAGACTCAAGGCCCATCTCGGCAACTGCTAGCGGGCCTGACCACATCTTAGTCTTATCTTGAACAACAGGGCCTGGGTGCATTGAAGTTGTGAAGAAGCGCGTGCGGGGGGTCGGGATGCGGGAAGGCTTAGCAATTCGGACACCTACTTCGGGGGCCGCACCGTCGCGCAGAAGTCTCTGCCGGCAGCATGCCAGCACCCTCTGGAATCCTACAGCAAGGCCGAAACTCAAAGTGTTCATGAACAGCGAAGAATGCTTCACAGTGGCATTTTTACAGTTTGACCGCCACCGTAGTCTCGATCCAAAAACTGGAGCTTTTAGGGTTTTGAGTTTGAGAATGTGAGTCTGGGGGATAGATTCAGGACGAAGGGGTTTTGGGAGTTCTTAGTTTGATTGGTTGCCTGGTTCTAGCGTTGTGGGGCCGGTGGGCTTCGCAACATCAACCTCTGGAGCAAACATCCGGCCCAGAACGCTCTGCACAACCGAGGAGCAAACCGGGGCAAACGCTTCTGGCTGAGGGTTTAGTGGCCTTGCCAGACGTATTGAACCTGCCCTACGCAATCCTAGAATCCCAGAATCAAGAGACTGGCGGGTCGAAGCAAAAGGAGTTCTCTTTGCAGCTTCTAGGAACGTCTGGTAGCCGAAGAAGATGTCTGTCACCCTTAATTGCCTTAATTAAAACCTGAGACTGGAAGTTGGCTTCACAGAATCCGGAGACCTTTTCTCGGCTCGTCCGCAGCCATCAAAGAGGCTTGGGTTCTTTTTCTTGTGGTTTGAGTTTAGGGGCCTCTATCAAACGTTCAAGGGTTATCTGCGGATTTTTCTGGAAAACTTCGCTTTCAAGGTGCGAGCTCAAGAACGGCAGAAAGCCCAAAGCTCCAATGCCCCACAAACCTGAGACGTAAAAGCCCCTTTTGTGGCAGTTCCTGTGCACTTCGAGACTTTCGGGCCCATGGGTCCCGCTCTGGGACTCGGAGTCAAAGGAGCAAAGGAGCTTCCGGGTAATTACCTTGCCGGATCTCCTCAGTTTCAAATTAACGGGTAAAGAAAGACACTTCAATGATGGCCAAGCAAGAGTCACATACCCAAGCCGGAAAAAGGCTGACAGCAGTGGCACACCTCTTCCAAGTTCAGACTTTCGCACAGCGAGACGAAAAGACTCCCCTGAGAGCTGAGGCATACTTCGCACGCTTCGCACGCACAACACGCAAAAAGAGGGCACACTTCGCAGAATGTCGCTTCAAGCTGTATGCCCTCCGCCTGTATTCTATGGGCTCTGGAGAAGAGCTCTCGCGAAGGCCGAAGGAGCCTCCTCCAGCCGCCTCAAGCCAAAGAAGAGAAGTTTCGTCTCGTCCGGCTACTTGAAGCCCAAAGGCCAGGGATGAGCACTGCAGGTACTTCTTCGCAAGGGCTTGCACAGACGTTGCTATAGCAATTGTTATCTGCCTCCCCCTCCGTCTCAGAGAACCCACAATTCTGTGAGGCGCTTGCCGCCTGGAGACAGCCTGCTCAGCACGTGCTTTCGTCGCTGTGCCGGAGGGTTGCAAAGCTGATTTCCATATGGAGGCTACAAAACTCATCTGCAGCAGGTCAGCAATCCTACTTTGCACCGAAAGCTTCGCAGGCAACTCTTCTCTGAAACATGGAGCGAGAGACGTCGGGCATGGATGCCCTTACAACTGGCCGCAGTCATGCGATGTATCTGCAGCTGCTGAAACTTCGAGAAGGCCCCATGCGATGCGGGCGTTACTGATGTCTGCGGGGCGATTGGCAAAACCAACGGCGCTGGGAAAGGCATAGAACTCAGGCTGCGCACGGCGTAGGTTGCAGCGGCACTGGAGTATCTGAACAGCTACAAGTTCACGATACCTTCGTGGGGATGTGGGCTTGGATGTTTGGCCGGCATGTTGGTGGGCCTCCTAGGCCTCACCTAGCCATTCAAAACGCGCCCTGGCTTGAGCCCAACGTGTTTCTGCAGATTCTTCTAGCAAGAACGAGCTACATGCTTCGAGGGCGATTCAAAACCGTGCCTCTTGACCCCATAGACCAACGAAACTACATGAGCTATAGTCTTACTCCTTGTATCCCCCTTAAATAGGCATGTGAACCCCAAGTACCCACTGGGGACCCTGCACCTCAATTCAACTAGGAGAATTTTTGGATTTTTAGGGGGTGCTAGTACGGGGGGGGGGGGGGGGGTCCTCGAAATGGTCCTCACCTTGCGGGCCAACTCCCCTCCTCCCAAGCGCCCTGCCCGGAAATGCTGGATCTCAGAGTCTTAGAACCCCATACACGCAAACCGACCAGAAAGGTGTTGACCTTGATCACGGACGTAGATCATATGCTGGTGGTTCGTTTCACAACACAGACTTCCATATTTCAATCCTGCAAACAAGCACCGTACTGAAAATGGTTGCCAAACAGCGCCAGAAGGGAATCACAGGGCGCGTCAAAAAGGTCTTGTCTCTTGCAGCTACAGCGGTAACATACTTGTGACGCCATCTCTCCCGTCTGCTGCGCAGATCTACGATGTGATCGTGGCGAAGATGAGAACTTCGCTGTGTGTGTCGCAGGGAACAGCCTGTTCAGCCTGGTTCTGGCCTCTCGGCAGCTGGCCATTTTGTCCGCGAGAGCCCTGGTTTCCAACTTCCCGACCCTTCGTGTGTTTGACCACTCTTCACGTGTCAGACGGTCAAACGTGTTTCTGTGTGTTATCTGAATTCTGCTTGGTCTCCCAATTTGACTTGTCGCGGTTGATTGCTTTTGGAAGTGCTCTCACATGCTCGCAAGTTCTCGACACAACTGCAAGCGCAAGAACTCTTTTGCGGGGCGCCGGTCCAGGTCCACATCAGCAAGGCAAGAGTAGGCGGGAAAGGTGTCGACAAGCCCAGCAACAGCCTGCGCTACACTTCAGTCACGAAACGCAACGCATCAACGAGACGGCTTCGATTTCCCCAGCCTCAAGCTTGCAGCAGAAGCACGGTGCAAGAAGTGCCACCTGCAGCCGTGCCGTCAGGTCCCGTCTCGTCGCCTGAGCTTTCTACGCATTCTACGCGGCTTCCGAGAGTCTGCAGCACTTTTTCGTCTGGGGCCCCTGCTCAGGTTTCGCTGTCTCTCAAGTACTCAGCCGCCACGGCATGACCTCGGCGAAGGAGTCACATCCGAGTCTCCCTCAGCCAGAAGCCGTGGACATCTGCACATGGATGTGCAAACCGGAAGAAGGGCATCGAAGCACCGGGGGCATCAGCAGGTCTTGAGCATTTGCTTTAAGCTGAAGGGCAAAGTCTCACGAAATATCGCTTGCTTGCAAGACCACACATCACAGCAACCCTGGCTCAAGCTATAGAGATAACACCCAAACCCCGTCAAAAAAGAAAACCAAAGCCACAGTCGAAAAAGCGCACCTACCCCGACGAAAAAAGGACACCGAAACGACCAAAGCCCCGTTTGCACCAAACGACAGAACAGTTAACTGCAAATTAGAACTATCCAGGCGGGGTGATGTCAGCCCAACAACAGTGAAACTTCAGTCATTCTGCCCGTTTTTGGCGTGTTTGCGGCTGACACCCAGAATGACGCGTGCCCTGCGCACGGTTGGTTGACAAGCCTCATGAGTGGCCGTGCGGATGTCATCAAGTTTGCTCCCGGATGATCTCTGCTCGGACTGGCTTAGACCATGGACTTCATGATGCTTGGGAGTAGGAGGGGAGAAACAACCTCACCTGGCACTAACCTAAACCTTAACCCAGCTTCCGCTGATCAGGGGACCTAAAACATGATTACGAAGTAAAACTACAAGCTGAGCCCAAAACCCTACGTGCCCGGTACCCGGCGAAACCCTAACCCCCACTATGCAAATCCTTGTGTGCGATGCATGTCAGACACTTGGGACGGTCCACGTTTCTTCTTTGCCCTGGTAACCTTAAGGCTATACTTGAGACATGACACATCATGACAGCTGCCGAGCATGTTTGTAGAATGGGATCTTGCCCGTTTGAAGCGCTGCAGTCGTCAGAGCAGTGAGTGACCGGCCTGCATGAAAGGGAAATGACTGCAGAACTGCGCCTCCGTGACCTGCTGGCAGACAGTGCCAAAGGCGTGCGTGATGTGAGAGCATGCTCCACCTTTCCAGCAAATCGAGGGCAGAGGAGCGACGTGTCCAGAGATCTTTCCGAGTCCTACGGGGGCAGTCGCGCTCTTCGCTCAACACTTCGGTCCGCTGGGTCCTGAAAGCACTTCGAAAAGATCACCTCAGCGCTGTCAAGTCAAGGAATCGGCATTGGCGCGCTGCCAAGCCGAGTTGCTCCACGTGTTTTCACGAGCAGGGCAAGCCGTCGCAGCGTCTGCTCAACAGTTACCTGAAGCTGAAACACAGACAAACACAGACACCTCCACATCCCTCCACGCATTCCCGTCTCGCCTCGTCCTCACATGGGCTGATGTCCTGACCGTGCTTCTTCAAGCAGTGGCCAGGCCTGCGTCCGAGTAGCGTACAGACTTATACTGGCTTTTGCTCTTACGGCGCTCTTACGGCGCTCTGCGGCGCTCTGCGACGCTCTGCGCCTCGGCGCCTTCGCGGCTGGTTGCTTTTCGAGCTCAGAGGCCTTCGCGGTTCCCGCATAGCCGCTGCGTGTGCCACTGCCAACTTCTACAACGGCCGAGGGCACCCCGAAAACGGTGTCCACTGCCCGGAGGAACTCGAGGTGGTGTACGACCTCGCATGTCAGAGCGAGCCTAGGCATGAGACAAGGCGTGCGCGCCGTGTGCCTGTGGCTTCATGGCATCTTGCGATGGATCTGTGAAGAAATCCTGGCAGCGACCCTGTGCAGATTCGTCTTTTTGGTGGACTTTGTCTCAGCTTCGAACCGTGAGCACGCGCATCTTTTCTGCCCGTAGATGCGGAACCTTGACACGTATTGAAATGTCTGCGATTGGTAATTATCTTTGGTCGGGTAAGGCAAGCACGATAGCATTCAATCCACGGACAAACTGATGAGGGCTGCATCGGCCACATCGCAGCGGATCGAAATCCAAGAAGAAGTCCTGCGTTGTCATTTCGGAACTTCGGGGCTCAAGCTCAACCTGCACGGCGAGCCGCCTTCGCCCGAACGCGTCGGGTGAAGACGTAGCCCTGCCAGAGAAGAAGAGCCAGATGCAGACGAAAAGACGACGAGGACTACGAGCCCTTTGCGGAGCGTTGGCCGATGACGACACACACTCGGCGCCTGGATCTCCCGAATGATGCCGCGGACATCTTCCGGATACTCCTCACGGGCAGCCACAAAGGCGACCACACGGCCGAGCTTGTGCAGTCGCCTCGAGCTGGACCGAGGGTGTCGGAGCCTGCGGAGATCTGTGGAATGGATGTGGACAATGGAGAAGAGATGAGAGGAGTCTAAGAGACCAGGTTGGAAGCTGAGCGGCCTCCCATGCTTGCATTGGCGAGAAACCTGCTGGCCCAGCAAGGCCAGCGCAAGGTTCTGCGAGCTTGACTGGCAAAAGTCGGCATAATTTTGAATTACGTAAGATCACGGCGGAACGGGGCAGGCGCCATTGCATTCACCTGCAGGATAGTCACCGACACGAAAGTAACTACTGTGTCGTTGCAGCTGGCCTCCTGTGGCTCTCCTAGATCTGCAGAATACTATATCTTAACAATGACCTGATGAGAAGTTGTTCCTTTCTAGCCAGTCTACATTTTTCTGTGTTGTGGTCACCGCGACAGACAGGCGGAAGAACAATCTCCCTGTTACTCTAAATGAATCTTTACTTCCACGAGCAGCAGTTTTTGCCACAAGTGTGAGACACAAGCCCAGCAGTTTTTGCAGGCTTTTTGAGGCCTTGAGCCGAAACTGAACATGTGACTCAAGCTCTCACTCGACACACGATGACACACGCATGCGAAGGATCAGAAGTGCGGCTCGCACCCACAACTTGGGGCCCCAGACCTCGGCAAGTCGTTGGCCATGCGTGCCAGCATGCCCCGCTGGACGTTCTATCGGGCTCCGGCAACAAAAACGAAGGCCGAGTGTATACCTTCCGGGCAAGCAGGATTCCATCTTGCAACGCTGACCCACCACAGATCGTGAAATACGTTATTGCTTGAAAGCCAGGAAGCCAAAGATGATCATCAGAACTATGACAATGAAGCCCATGCCTCCAAGCAGAATGTCGCACCAAAATACGACGTCAACATCTCTAAGCCAAATCCGCACCATAGATTCGCTGCTGTGTAAAAGGTCTCGTCCGCTGCATGGCCTAGGGGCAACAAGAAACCGCAAATCGAGGCAGCTCGTCGTCTGGCATATGGCATCCGTAAAGGGTTCATGACGTTCATGATAAGCTCCTAATTAATTATCAAAGTTTATGGCCTGGGCTAGGTCGCGGGAAGGGCGTGGCTGCGATGCAGCAAGCCGGGGTCGTTTGCTGCGCATTAGCAACATGATTCGTGCATGTGAACATCGCAGAAGGCTTCGCCAAAAACATACGCACTATCGAACATGCAGGCTTGCGAGCAGAAACATTCGCGCACCGTATTTGTGTTGACGATGGTCTTGACCCTTTATCATGTGACGATAACTCACTTTGCAGATTTGCTGTGCACCTGCTACCTAACCATTGCATGAACTGAGGGCGCTTCTTACACAGGCAGTTCGCCGGTGTGCAGCAAAGCCACACCTGACAGAATCTGCAATCCTGGGGCACCCTGGGATCGCACCAGACAAGGGGTCGCGTGCCAGCTGCCCGCAAGGTGCTTGCCAGCTATCAGGGGCAGCTTCAGCCCCTGTTGGACACCTTGAGCCGACGGCAGCGGCAAAGTCCGAAGTCGCAAAGACGTTCCACACAAACGCTAGGCCCTAAATCGGCCCTAAACAGGAGGAGGAAAGCTGGTCCGGCTTAGAACCTTGACACCTGCAGTGACTGGGCCATGTCCTGAGGTCCTGTGGCAAGTGCTTCCACGTTCGTTGTAGCGAAGGCACCGCTTCTTCGGACGAAGCTCGGCGGGACCGCTAACACGGCTGCACGGTTGAAAGAAAGTATTGACGAGGCAACAACCTTGATCGATAGGAAAATAAAAACGCCCCTCGAAAAGGCGACGCATCTTATGAAGCTGATCTCGGAGATCTTGCCTTTGTCGTGCCTTGCCCAAACCAAAGAAACAAGCTCGCATCTTTCCTGACCTTTCCTCTGCATATCGCCCAGCAAGCCTCACCTCACTGGAACATCTCGGCCAGACAACGCTGCTGAAGAGAGTACTGGGCCCCTTCAGATGACAGTCTTCCCAAGCAACGGACAGGCTTCTCGCAGGCTCGTGAGCTCATGGCACCAATCCCGTTGCCGGGCATGTCCAGAAGCCTTTTCTTTCTAGCCGCCAAAGCAGCCTGGTGAGTCTTCGAATAACTAGCCTGTGAAACTCCATAAGTGACAACCTAGCTCCTGGCTCTGACTGGCACAGCGCATGCCAGTGATGCATGTGGCAGGAGTTGCATTCTGGTCGCCTCAAAGATGCCGAGGCAAGTTCGCTTGCCCTCATTTAAGCTGATCTCAAAATATACTGCTCGCTCCAGTCGCAACTCCTCAAATGTGTCGCGACCGGACACTTTGGAGCGCCCAGCTCACGGGGCGTAGAAATTGTACAAAGGTGCAAAGCATGCACAGGTTTGGCACGCACTCATAAGAGTCTATTCGCACAAAAAATCACCGGAGAACTCTAGATAGCAGGCTGGATGGCCGTCTCTTGTTCAGCATGAAAGCTGCACAAGGCTACGTACTTGCTGGAACGAAAGAGGGAGGGGATTCTCCAACTTGTCTTTTGCTACCCAAATCTGACTGAAGGTCATGCCTCTTCCACTGCAGAACATCTGTATTTCAAGCTGCTCGGCGGAAAAAACCTGCTACCAACGTCTCAAGGCTGCAGCTGACAAGTGCACCGCTTTGATATTATTTGTTGACTGTAAACTGATTGGAATTGGGCCGGACGAATGCAACGACGTAAGATATGAAGTCATCGTCCAAGCCACATGCCCTGATGTCATCAAAAGATATTAACCTAGAGCTAAAAGCACAAGAGACTCGGCGCCATCACTTGAACGACATTTAGCCCTCGGCACGACACTCAAACTGTGCGGAGGTCAAGAAAGCACGCTGCTTGCAAAAACTGCCAAGCAGTCATCTACCGGGACACCGGCTTTGTAGCGACCTTTGCCCTTGTGTCTGTCCTGAGACGGGCGGCGACAAGTACAGATCGAATACATGGTCAACTCTTTTCTCGAACTCGTTATCGCTGAAGAGTTTGACTCAGTTCAGTGCATGCCACGTGTCCTTTTTTCTCGGGAGCACGCTTGACCGCTCGAAAGCAGGATGCGGCATGCAAGTCAGCCTCTAGCTGCAACTCACGTCCGCCTTCCGTGTCGTGCTCTTCAGCTTCAACTCACAGTGCAGGACCTGCTTCGTGTGATACACAAGTGCTTTCAGCTAGTTTTGCAGCGCGGACCTCCGGCAGCCGTCCAAGCGACTCTGGCTGTGCTCCTGCAAAGGGCTGAGAGACAAAGTTGGCGATGCACAGGTGTCTCTGCGGAACTCCTGCCGACCAGTTGAAATAGTGAATGCGACTGGCTCTGTCGATCTCAGCCTCCGGAGTTCCCCATGGCAGAGACGATGCGGGTTGCAAAGCTGCATCTAAGCCAACTGCGGGCGGGAACCCCAGCCCATTCTTTGGCCTCATAAATCCGAGCGGGATCGAACTAACGGAAGCACCGACTAACTGAGCCATACTGGGCCACGATGCTGATTCGTTCTGCCTCGAGCTCCTGCTGGGCCTCTCATGTTCTGCCCTCAGGCTGTACTCAACACAGCAATGGCGCTGTGTTCACACCAACAGGCCTGCCGCCCAAGTTCCAACTCGCGAACTCGCCGACGCCTGCAGTGCAAGTGAATCGAAAAGAAGCTTCTCAGGATGAGCCGAGGGAAAGGCTCAGCACCGACTGCGCGTTCAAGCTCTCCCTGCACCCAAAGCCCACACGGATCCTTCGAGATGCACGGATTCAATGCGCCTCAAGGCGGAACAACTCATCCCGCTTCGCTTCCATGCGCGTCACCTGAATGGTAGCACTCGGCCTCAGCGAAACCTGCTCCTCCTTAATCTGCCTTCGATATGAAGCTACAATGCTACAACCGTAACCCAGGCCTCAGCAAGCTCAGCATCCAGTCGCTGATACCTGTCGCTCATCTCCTGGTGTCCAGACTTTGAGAGACTCTTTGAATGACGGGGTGACGGGGTCTGCCTCTTCTTTCGAGATCAACTCGTCTCGGCGCTTCAGAACGTCGCGCTGACGCTCCTCGGCTCGCAGGGCCAGGTCAGGAAGGGTCTGCCGGAAATCCGCCCACCCGTCCTCGAGATCACGCATCACTTTGCTTTGTGCTTCCAAGGAGTTCATGACATCGCTCCAACACTGCTGCACCTCAGACAGGCTGAAAACTCCTCCCATTCTGCTGGGTCCAAATTGGCTGAGAGGCTGTGTCCTGCAACGTCTTGAAAGAGAAGTCTTCACTTTCCGGATCTTTCTCATGCCTTGACATCTGACCGATCACATGACTTTGAAAGTGGGACTGGCCAGTAGAAAGCTCTCTGGGCCACCCGACTGGTCGAGTCGCGCCCTGTTCCCGACAGCTTCAGCTTCAAGCTCCAGCATCACCTTCTTGTAAGCCTCAGGCAACATATAGGCAACGGCGGGCTAGTGAATTTCTTCACTTCCTTCACGCCTCGCTTTGGTCGTGCTTCTGCTTCAAAGCACCTGGCACTGGCACGGCCAGGAAAGGCAAGAACAAAACTGGAAAAGTTCTCCCCGGCCTTTCAGCTGCTCGATGAGATGGCGGCCGAGGGCCAAATCTTCTTCCAGCACAGCTGCCTTCGCTTCGGCTCTCAGTCACCGGGCCCGGGCCCGGGGCACTACATCACGCGGATCACGCGCTCCGCTCGTGCTTGGCGGATTGCATGGTGGTCGCCGATGACCCTGAAACAGTCATCACAGACCCGCACCTTGGTCGTCTTTCGATGCGAAATCTCAGTTCTCTAATGCGCTCCGGTTGAGCCCTTGGCATTACCAAGGGAAGGATCTTGAGGGATTCGAGTTCTGTGCCTCCCGAGATTCAAACACACATTCCTGGCTTGAGATTATGCATATATGTGGCAGGACAGGTCCATGTTGAACACAGTGACATGCTGCCTCCCTAAGCCTTAAGTGGTTGCCATGCGAACAAAGCCAACAGACAGCCGAGATTGCGTAAGTGCCTGGAACATGTGCAGCGCATCTGATCCCCCTGCCTGCTGCAATCGTCACAGACGAGGCCACCGCAATGTCGGCAATGATGCCGCCTGAGTTTGAAGTTCGTCAGTGGGCTGATGCCGACATTGATGTAACACTCAAAGCAACAACACACATTGCATTCGGCCTGAAATAAGTCGTAAATTGTGCTTCACATCGTGGGCAGGCCGTCTCCTAACCGTCGCTTGCCACAGCAAGGCATGTCTCAAGCTCTTTCTAACATACAAAACAGAGTCGCGACATGTCACGGCCACTGCTCTTGCGAGAGCTTTGCTGGTCCTTGGAATCGGCTTGCGTGCCCTGCGAAGTTGCAATAGGCATACATTCGAAGCGCGAATGCCTGTATCGCGTGAATGCACTAAGAACCATACAAATCTGAGCGATAGCCGCAATGCCACCGAGCCACACACACGCACACATCTCACTGCAACGACACTCCGTTTACTTGCATTTCGGTTTGGCTCGAGGGGCGATCTCATCTCAACCAGGCGGGACTTAATTGACAGTGCTCTCTCCGACCGCAAGAGGATTACGGCATGCTTGCAGACGCCAGTGGCATATGTGACACATCCTCAAAATTCCTCAAAGCCGTGCATGCGTTGCCGACTCATCACCGGAGGGTAGGCAGACAGGTCGACTGATTGCTAGATTGGTGCTTTGCAGAAAGCCTGAAATGAATCTCAAAACTCACGAAAAAATTTTGAAGGCAACAAATCGTGTCGGGGCGCGGCTAGTTATTCCCAACCCATGATTTTGCCCCCTGAATCGGACAGCAGTTTCATCAACATGCACTGACTGCATGTTTTAGCTTTCCTATTCCGTGGCGATCGAGCACAGGAACATTTCTGCTGGAATCCCCAGTGTGTAGCGCCGGGTATGCGCGAGTATGCGCGAGTATCTGCGAGTAGCGCCGGGTATGAGCGTGTATGCGCGAGTATGCGCCGAGTACTCGGCGTACTCGGGCCTATACTCGAGCGTGCTCGAGTGTACTCGTGGCGTACTCCAGCATACGCGAGAGCGAGAGTACTCGGGCATACTTGGTCAAGCGTACGCGGGCCGCAATCGGAAACCCCTCACTGTGCTTCGACTGCCTGTCTCCATGGAGGATACCTTCATTGCCGAACATGACTGCCTGTCCAAGGCTTCATGTTCTATGACAAAGAAGCTAATACTAATATGAATAAGAAAGCTATCTTCAATTTATGCCAGAAGAAGTACAGCAAAGACACAGACAAAAAGCAATTTGACACCAGCGGAAAAATCAAGCAACCCAAAAACCCAAAACGACTAAAAACCCAAAAAAACATAACCAAAACAAACCCAAAAACAACAAAAAAACAACAACTAGAATAACAAAAAAAACAAGTTTCAGAAAGTCTTGGCCCAGAGCCCTGGTTTACAGAATTTGCGGAAGACTTGTAGAAAATTAGTGGCTTTGTTATTGTTTTGTTGGTTTGTGTTTTTGGTTTTCGTGTTGTTTGGTTGTTTTGGTGTTTTCCGTTTTGCTGTTTTTGGTTCGTTTGATTTTGGTTTTGATAGTTTTTGGTTGCATCCACTTGGGCTGGCTTTCTGCCATACGCGCAGGGAATCCGACGAGGTCCGGCCCAGCGCCATCTTTTGTCTATTGCTTTCAAAGACTTCGACAATCTTCCCAAACCGCCCACTTCGAATCTTAGAGGACGCACAATCTATATCTTTGCCAGGTCGTGCTGCTTCCATCGGTGCATTAAGAGTGGCTGTATATGTCAATAGTATAAACTAGTAGAAAACATATGTTCAAGTGGTGCCGCCTTGTGAGATTATTTTCGAAGCCTGAAATACACTATAGCTTAACCAAAGTCACCAAATATGGTGTCATTGAATATGACAAAACGAAAGTATTGAATTCTTGATTTTCCGAGTCAACCCACGAACGACAAAAAGCAAAATAACTAGTTCGATTCTGAGTGCCACGAACTGAGCAGCTCTGAAGTCTGTCGCGGCCAAAGAAACTTCTTGAGTAAAATACATAGGTAAGCAGTTTACTTTGCATTCAGCTTCTTTTGAAAGCACGCAGCACAGCATGGCTCAAAAAACGTACCCTGAGCCCAAGCTGTGCCAAGTAGCAGCAGGTATTCTATCGAAGATCTTATACATCCACCAAAGTCCCTTGTGTTGTCAGTTTCTAAAATTGTCGCGTAGTCGTCACGACATGGGGTCCAAACAAAGACTTCAATTTCGCGTAAACACAGCGGACAACTTATAGATTATAGCTTGAATGCGAATTTTCAGAGTGATCCACAGTATCAATGCTCAGCACCTGAGTCAGCAGTTGAAAGAACATGTCTGAAAGCTTTTGACCGAACAGGCTTTGTTGGAATTCGACGATGCCACAGAGGGGCTCTCAGCGACAGAACAACGCATCAAGCTCTCGGCAGGAATATCAAGAGGGAAGATCAGCACGAAAGTGCACCTGTCCATCGTCTGAACTGATCAGCGACGCTGCTGGAGATCTCTCTGGCGAGGCACCATGGACCTGGAAGAGCTGTCGCGCCCCAAAGGCGCCCACAGACATTTCTCTCTCAAGATTCTCAGAACCAAGCTTGCATGGAATGGACGGCCCAGGTGCGAAATCCGAATCAGCACTAACACTGAATCTGAACATATGCTAAGATTTGTGTTTTAGCTCTAATTGGCTACTGGTCGTGTGAAGTGCTCTCATCCATGCTGGAACCGAAGAAAGACGAAAGGTGCTGGAGAGTATATTGCTGGCTGAAGAAGAAGTAGAAAGGTGCAACTAAGCAAGCTCTGTGCAGTCCTGACCACCTTTCTGGTTCCGATAACCACTGCATCCTCACAGCTATAGCGGTAAAGTGCAGAGGTGGGTGTAGAATGCGAATAGGGCAGGCCCCAAAGTCCTTCACCCGCGGCTCCGAAGCCTAGCAGCAGCAAGAGCTAATGATGCTAATGGATCTGACTCCTTTAAACAAGAAGTCATGCAGCTTCCATCGAAATCTTTGCAGGCTCACACGGCATCTCATGCATACTATTAGCCTGCGTTGGTCGCTCCAGGTTGCAACTGGCCCGAAAGCCTCCACCAATACTCCCAGCTGTCCGTCGCACACCCTTGCGTGCTAAAGGCAGAGGACTGCCTATGGTCGATGGGCCCAGGTCGGGGCTGCAAGCCCTGTGCAACTCAGAAGGAGCTCAGATGTGTTGCCGAATTCCGAACAGAGCCATTCCACCACCTGCAACTCATCTGCTGTAGACCTTGCACATCAGAAGAACCACTTGGCCATGTGGCGTTCACATCTTCCGGCCCAACACAGTAAGTCTCCCGCAAACATGCCGTATGACCAGCATGACGAAGAGAAGGTGCCCAGCCTGCAACACATCAAACATGCAGCACCTTAACCACGAACAAATCACGATGCTTCGAGACCGACACCCGCAACGCTTGACTGTTCAACTGTACAGAGGGTGTTCGGCTGAAACATCTACGAAGGTTGCGGCCACAGTCCTATTAAAAATGCCCCGATGTCTTTGCAATGCCAACCCTGTGCCACGGCTTGAAGTGAACCCTGGGCCCTGTGCTTCCTGAAACGTCCAAGTTGTCGCAACTGGAGAAATTTGATAGGGCTGGACCGGCGAGGGCTGGTGCATGTTGGTGCGGGGCATGGCCGACGAAGACTAGAAATGCAGCAATTGGTAGCAGTGCGGCACCACCAGCACCAGCAGCAGCACCGGCTGAGGTGGAAAGGAAGGGCAGACAAGGAGGTCCGGTGCCTAAGAGGGTCAAGCTTTCCGGAGCGACCAGGCCGAGAGCCAGCATTTAAGGGCTTAAAGTTTAGGGTTTATATAGGATTGTTGAAGTTCGGTTCTGGCTTTTCTTCCAGCATATCCGACTTAGCAATAGCGTGGCCGCAATGCACAAGTCGGCCTGCAGCGCCTGAATCGCGACGATTGAATTGTCTGTTCGCGGGCCCCGAAGTTCCGCTCATGGTCCGCGAATCAGGTTCCTGAAGTCTGGCGGCTCCCGTTGGTACCCGACATGCGCGTCTCAGTTCCCGAATCTGGTTCCTGAATTTCGCGTCACGCTTCTTCCACTGGCTGGTGGTTGTAGTTGTAGGAGCAGCAGCAGCAGCAGCAGCAGCAGCAGCAGCAGAAGCAGCAGCAGCAGCAGCAGCAGTTGCAGTTGTATTAGTAGTAGTAGTAGTAGTAGCAGTAGTAGTAGTAGTAGTAGTAGTAGTAGTAGTAATAGTCGTAGTGATAATAGTAGTAGTAGTAGTAGTAGTAGTAGTAGTAGTCGTCGTCGTAGTCGTAGTC